CTAAACTTTAATCTGTTTTGTCCCACCTTCATAATTTTTGCCACATGTAGTTACTTCCTATGTTATTATTTATTTTAATTGTTTTACTCTATTTTCAGTTAAATGAATTTAAGTCAAATGAAAAATTGCAATTACCATTATAAATAATAATTTAAAACAGCATTGCTAACAGAAAGAAGACAACTATAATAGTAAGTATATATGAAACTAGTAAACATTAAAGTATTTGTGTACCTGCTAAACCATCTCAGTTTTCATGAATGAGTGCTTGGTGGGCTTTGATAAATTCTGACCAAATAAAAAAAAATAGGGTTGTTAAATGTGAATGAAATTACTGAATATTTCCTGGATGACATAATATGTTAATCAGTTTTTAAGATAAACTTTCCTGTGACAAGTACCTGGCTAGCTATACTATGTGCAGTGTAGACAGACATCTACTTAATGAAGTTTCAAGCAGGAAGTCCAGCTGCTCTTGGCAGCACCTCCCTTAGCTTCTGGCAAATGCTTGAAACTCTATGGTTTGAATGTAATTACTTCTGCTCAGTCATTTTCGAACTTTTTAAAGCAGTCAACAACTTTTGTTTAAACAAATGAAGGAATATTTTAAAAACAAGTAAATAAAAGAGAAAATCAAAATTTTATTTGTACAAATACATTTCAGAGGTTCAAGTTGTTAGCATTTTCAGTTAGTTGATTTACGGGAATAATAGGACTATTTTGATGAAGTCAGTTGCAGTGTTACAGCCATCCTGCCTTTCTTAGATTTCTACATTTTATTTTGGTTGCATGGTATTGGGACTATCCTGATGCAGATATATAATTAAGTAGATGAACTTTTTGCATTTTACTTGGTCACATTCTGATTCCATTACTGGAAAGTGTAAGAGTTTAACTTGACTATTCAAAGGTACATCAATTAGAACTAAAATAGATCACATTCCTTGAAAGGTCCTCACTTTTGGTTAAAAAACAGTTTTCATATATTTGTTGATCAGGGTAGGGAAGAAAAGAAGTACTTTGGATTAGACAAAGGGGAATGAAGGGAAGGGAAGTGGAATGGGAATAGGAGATAGTAGAATGATTTGGACATAACTTTCCTATGTGCATGTAGGATTACACAACCAATGTAATTCTGTATCATGTATAACTAGAATGAGAAGTTATATTTCATATATGTATAACATGTCAAAATACATTACATTATCATATATAATTAATAAGAACAAATTAAAAAATTAAAGAATTTTAAAAGTAGTTTTCAAAGGTGCTTTTGTAATACAAAGTTTTCAAAGGTGGCTTTTGTAATCTAAAGTTTTCCACTTTAGTTAACAGAAATTTATTATATAATGTTACTTCTGCCTGGTTCATATTCTTTTAAAGTTTAAATTAGTAGGATTTATTTTATTCTGCATAAAGACCTAAAATTTTTAATTTCATGCCTAGTTGTGAATATGTTTAAATCAAATTTTCTCTGACTAAAGCATGCTTGTGATATACTTTAGTATAACCCTATTATTGGAGCTAGTTAATTAATGCAATTTCTTTATGAGCAAAAATGCTACTAAAAAGGATCTTTGTTTTCATTTAAAATATTGGTGTTGTAATCTTGTTTTCACTTCTGCTGGTTGGTATGTGCTGTTTTGTTCTTGTGCCAAAAAATGTGTCTGAATTTGCTGGTCTTTTAGTTCCACTGGGTTCACATACACTATGGTGGTAATGTGTCCATTTGTAGCATTTTTCTCATTAAATATGGAAAGGCATGTTCTTTTAAATGACCACTGAAGAGTTATAGACTTTCCAATCAATGCCACAGTTATTTATTTATGTGTGTGTGTATGTGTGTGTGTACACAAATGTATATGTGTGGCATGTATATTTTTCTTTATCTCCTTCAATCCATCTATTTCTCTCTCTCTCTCTCTCTCCCCCCCCCCCCCCCTTCATTCCACTCCTTTTTTCTAACTACATAGGAGAAAGAGGAAAGCCAGAGAAAGCTGATTTTGTCTGGTAACAGAAGTTAATCATTTGAGAATAGTATGGCAATGTGTTTTCATAGAATATAACATAGGGTATTTTTTTGTTAACTACTTTTTTCTTGTTTCAAATACGGCCATGTTTGACCCAAGTTTTTATAGAGCTGCTGAAGAATTACAGTTGTAACTCAATGGAACACAGTATGAAAAATAATGTTTTAGCTAGAGGCCTTTATTTCTTTAATGCAAATACCTCTACCTCCATGTGCAATCACTCATTTATACATTAATGTGAAGAAATTTATTAGACATCTTTCTGAGGTTAATTTAGAAGAGGGGGAGGTAAAGATGAACTCAGCAACTAAAAGACATGGGAAAGATTAAATATTAAGGCTGGGAGCATTGAAAATCAACTTGGCTTACTTTACAGATTTACTTAAAGACTATGCTATCTTTATATAATACACTTACTATACTTATAAACACACACACACACACAAACACAAACACACAGAAAATCCCTACTGATTTAGATGAATGTGAGTATAAATATGTTTCAGAATTGAGTCCAAATACTTTAGTATATTTCAATGAAATGATAATATAATGCAATGAGTTACTTATAATTTTATTCAACCTTGAATTAAGTCAACAATATAATTTGCAACAAAGAAATTTAGTGACTAAAAATGTTATAATCTTATGTGAATATCTTCAAAGATTGCAAGCTAGTGAACTGTTCAGGAGTCCCAGATCACACATAGCTTGAAGATATTGAGGATATGATGAACCAAATTTAATCTTGCACCTTTGGTCTATGAAATTTATTTAAATAAATTTAAAATATAGTGTACACATTTTATTAATATCAATCTGCTTATTAAAAAATAAAATAACTTATCTCTATCACATGGGAATTTAGTTATATGCTTCTTCCCCCACCACACAGAAATACTTTCTAAAGTTTAGGGTGGAAAGTTTCCATTCCAAAATATAGTAAAAAATTAGTTGAGACTTGTGATAAATTTTTAAGGAGTCATAAAATGACCTTCAAAAACTATACACTTACAAAAATGTATTCCTGACTCACAAACCCAGGATGTTCCCACTTTCCTCTTTCTCAGTGTGTATAAGAACTTAGATCTAATAGTTCCACATTAGAAAAAAAAAAAAGGCAGAAATGGAATAGAGAGGTTTTCCTACATTTATGGCAGTAAGAATCAATGATAATAGCTGTAACTGGTTTGTCTGGACTTTATTTCAATCATACATTCTTGAAAAAAAAATCATATAAATATCAGAGTTAGTGAGACCAGGTCAATAGAATCTCAGCTCTGTGCAGGGCTTTACACACATGTCCATAGAGATGTTTGTTTGGATAGAGTACAGCCCTGTTTCTTAGAAACTTCCAGTGGATGAATGTAGGCAGCTGAGCCACTGGGAACCAATTTGGACACATATCTGTAATGTGTACAAGCAAAGGATCTGCCTAATATTGTAATGTAGTGGTCAAATGGAAAAACAAACCAACAATATTTTTGTATATATTATTTTATATGTGCATAGTACAAAATATTTGTAAAGAAAGAGAGTGAATATATATATATATATATATATATATATATATATATATATAAACATAATAGTGCAATCTGTGGAATTCAAAAGAAAAATTTATAATTTGGTCTTAGTATGTTTCTTAGGCTAATTCTAATTTTCAGAAAATTTTAAATATTTTTAAACTCTACTAATCTTTAAGATGATATTTAAATATGAATACGATATTAATGTCAATATCTTCTAAAAACTAATAATCATATTTATGTCCTACTTACTATTAATTCATATAGGGCAAGCCTCTCAATTTTTCTAGGTATGTCTCCTTTAAAGTGCTATTTTCTCCATATTTTCATATAGTTATATTGCATTCTGAGTATAAACTATTCTAATTGATTTTTTAAAATCTTGCTTATACTGAATTCCATAGATATTCACTATTACTTCTACATTTCAGAGGCATCAAAACTTCTAGTCATTGGCAGGTCTTAATAACCTTTTCCTTCTAGAGCATACCCAACTCTTTCTCCATCTATCCTTGTCCCTCCCATCATGATACTGAATTCTGTATAACAGAAGTCATTGCCTATTGCAAACACCTAAATTAATTACCAGTTACCCGCCCTCAAAAAAACAAACAACAACAACAACAACAAAACATAGAGCTATTTACTACCACAAGTCTACCAACTACCTTCAAATTTTATTTATTTTTTTACTTTGACAATGTGGTCTTATTTCTAAGGCAATCAGTGGTAGTAGGTAAACTGTAGAAGGTAAAAAGAAAAATCATATATATTCATTTTATTGATTTTTTAAATTCCTATAGATTTTATGAACAAAGATATTACTTTGTTTATAAAATTTACCAAGAAAAATTAGATGTCACATCCCACTGTGAAATATTCTTCCCCATAGTCATTGTATCCTATTTTATTAGTATTTGCTCTTTGTTTCCCAGGTGTCCTGTTACTAACTCTATGGAAAAATAATAGCAGATAGTCATAATTTATTGTAGAACATTGAAACATTCCCTGATATATGGTTCTTAGAACAACAGTTTAATGTAAGACAGTTCAGTATCACAGCCTGACTGAAGAAAGACAAGAACAAATCCTCTTAGGATACAACCTTAGAAATGCCTAAACTAGGTCCTTGTTAAATTCGTACATCCTGATCAAGATGATTACATTCCAGAAGAGCTAATGAATAACCTATCCTATTTTACTATCCATTACATATATAGTACACATTTTAATTTTTGTGGGGAAAAACCCTAATCAAAGAATGAGAACAAAGAAGGAAAATATTCAGAACCCATTGTGTAATTTAGTAAAACTTGTGTATGTGATACCATGAAAAATACTACTGCATAAATATATACATTTTAGTGCAATGAAAAACTCTTTAAAGGTAGCCTTTGAATTCACATTAACAAGCAATTTGACAGTTAGTTAGGAACCTTACCTTGACTTGCAAACTTCAACTCTTTGGAATCTGTGAGTGTGGTCCTTTTGTCAGACCCTTTCTTCTCTATCCGTCGATGGCTTCTTCTTTTCTTAGACTCTCCCCAGAGGTTGGATCCTCCATGCATGCTTGGTATATTCAAAATAGCAATTCCTTCCAGAGAGATGTTTATTAGATCAATCTGTACGCCATCACACTGGGAAAAGAAAAAAAGGAACATAGACTGGAACATAATTTATCTTTCTTTGATTTTTTTCCTTATCTTTAAATAAGGGCTTTTAAATTCACAATTGTACCTTTTCTAAATAAGCTTTTCAAGAATACCTAAATGTTTATCATAAATATCAACATAAAATATAAATCAGTAACTAGCATTAACCTATTATCACTAATAATCCTTAAAAAATGATCAAACTAAATCATTAGAAAACTTCCGAGAGAAACATGTTTAGTGTCTACAAATGTGTATCCAGATGCAAATTTCCAGTATGTTACAAGGAGGTTGATTGTAGGAAGAATGGTCAAATTTGAAGAAGAAATTTTAGTGATTGTCATCTGACACCTATTCAGAACATATTGTAATATTCGGGGAAAATAAAGAAATAGAATTCTTGAATCATGGCTTACATCTTTAAAACAAGACAAAACAAACAATAACAACAACAAAAAAGAATAAAGTGTTTAAAAGGGAAAGTAAAGTCCAAAGCAGTAATTTTCAACCACTCTGGAGTGACCAAGAATGGTATCTTGGTCTAGATTAAGTTCTAAGCAGGACATCAAAGGCAACTGGAAGCCCAGTTGTCCAAATGAACATAGAGGGCCAGGAAGATCAAGTAAGGGAAATGACAAGAACAGCAGTAAAAGGAAACTCCAAACCACTCTATTATGGTAATGGCTTGCTAAAAACCCCAATTAATTAGCCAGAGTTTTTGTTTTGGGCCTGGTGACAAAAAACACTGCTGAATATAAAAAGTGTGGACAGTTCTTTGCTGTATTCAGTGTTCACTTTTTAATTTTTTGAACATTTTGATCATTTCCTCTGATGGACATGTGTGGAGAATAACAGGGCCATTGTCTAATTTTTGAATGACTATGTATTAATTGATATGCTGTAGGTTTTCTAAAATGGTAGTTAATATAAATATATCCCAGAAATTATTCTCCCATTTTCAAATACAAGTCAATATGAGTAAAGATATACATACATAACTCTGTTTAAAAAAACTTTGTTAGGAATAAGCATTTTATAAATTGAAGCAAATCTGCAGTGGGATTAGTTCATTTGTCATGTCTTATAAAAAATAATAATCATCGCTACTAACTTCCTCATTTCTCATAGCAATCAAAACTTTTAGACTTACAAGAGGTAATGTTCCACCAAAATGACAACAAAACACAATCCCCTCTTCTACATTAACTTCATCACACTGACTCTAGAACTGCTTCTTGTTCACCAAAAAATAAAAGCTGTGAAATAAAGCAACATTTTGAGCCTAGTTGGCAGAGATAGAAACAAATTCTAGAGAAAGTGCCAAGTTTTCATTCCATTTGTTTCAAGGAGGGTGAAACCAATATCCAAATGATGACTTTTTTTTCCCCTCAGAAATAAGTGATTTTCCCTCCTTTTCATGTATTAAATTAAGATGATTTCTTTTTACTAAAGAATTCTGCTCATGTGTATACTCACTTACCGCTATATATTCTAGATAAACAGATATTAATTTCATAATTAAAAGTAATCTTGTGTAAATACCCTGCAGGCCTCAATGAATCAAACACATACTGTGTGTCAGGCCTCCCACTGACTTCAAGTGGAATGTACTGGCTGGATAATTAGATAGTACATATTTTTTAACCTTATTTGCATGCATATTATATCTTTTGCACACTGACAAGCAGCAGTAACAACAAAAGTCAGATTACCACAGGGAATTCCCACAAAGAAGTCTTCATTCCTTATAATTTGCAGCCTAAATTAAAATAATTTGATCTTTGACAAGGATGAAATGTCAAGCAGAAGGGGGTCCTCTACAAGCCATGGCCTGTGGCTTCTGAAATCTGCCTAATTTATGTCAGTCACTTCTTAATACATATTTAAGTATTACACGAAAAAGATGATAAATATGCAATCTGACACCTTTGGTATTTCCCTGCTGTTAATTTATAAAGGTCTGGCTTCCCCCAAACTGACTAAAATCATTTAAATAACAGAAGAATTGTGAAATAAGCTGGAGTTGGGGCCTGGCTTCCATTTTCACTCAATATTGAACACAGCAGGTAATACACTAAGACAATTATTTGACTAGGCCTTAGAACCCCACTGTGACAAGTGACTTTCAGAATTAGTGAAGGAGGATTCCTTTGTTCATCTGCAGGAAAGGAGAGCATGCTGCAAATAAGCTTTTTTTTTTTTTTTTCTTTTAATTGAACTAGTGGAGTTACATGTGACAGTGGAAAAACACCAGTGTATACTATTATTCATGTTTGCACTATTCAGAGTCATGTCAATTGTAGTTTTAAGGAAACAGAGTGGGCTGTTCTCTAAGAAGTGAAAAAAAAAAAATTCTTAAGGAGTTGCAAAGAAAAAGAGCTGTTGAAGAACACTGATGCTATTTGGAGCAGGACAATGTATTGAAATAAATTGCAATTTATTGATACTTTGTTCCCACTAGTTCTTGACCCCAGGTAACCTTCCTCTGTTTGCTTTAATGTTATGTTGGTTAATCTGGAAATTTTAAGTGCTATTGCTGATAGAGACCACCGAATGTAGCACACCAGTTGAATATAGGAAAATAAAAGCTTAGGTGAAGGCTATGAAATATAAACAAGTGATAATATTGTGTCAGATAATATTTTCATATGCTTTGAAGATTTATGATTTCTAAAAAGGTAGCTACAGAGGAAAGAATATAAAAGCTTAAACGCTAACAGCCTCAGTTAGACAATAAATTCTGAATATTTTTATTGTGTAGGAAAAGGTCATTAACATATAGAACTGTGGGAGCTATTTATAGAGTGCAATGCTATGATGCCATTGTCTACCCTTCTTCATTTTAAAATGAAAGACCTTATTCTAAAACAAGTTTACCTAAAGGAAAAGAATATTTCAAAAATATTTTTGTCAATGTATATTAATCCTAGTTTATAAACTTTGGAGAGCTATACTTTTTGATAATTTGATGAGATTAATTAAATGTTAATGATAGATTGTAAATCTTTTATGTAATGAGTTTGACTCTGTACCTGTATCAGATAAAATTATTAGTAAGTTTACTCACTAAAACATTAAAAAACTGCTTTATAGATAATCTTAGTATTAGGACCCATAGAGTAAAAGCCATACTGGGAAAGAGCCTTGTTGACTTTAAGAATTCAAAAATCTCATCTTTCAAATTCTGAGAACTTGGTGTGGGGATGTGGCTTGATGGTAGAGTGCTTGCCTAGCATGTGTGAGGTTCTAGATTCAATTCTCAGCACCACATAAAAATGAATAAATAAAATAAAGGTATTGCGTCAATCTATAATAAATAAATAAGTAAATAAATAAAAATTCTGATAACTTATTTTGTGAACCTGATATTCTTTTTGTCATTTGTTAATTCCTGAGATTAGATTTGTAGAAGTACTCACTCATTGTGATAAATCTCAGCATTTTTGGATGAAAATTCTTGACTTTAGAATTTACCATCCTTCTTAGGCTCATTAACAACCAAGTCTGAAATACTGGAAGAATGTGTTTTCTTATTCTCTTATCAGCTTTTTCTGCTACATGGGGCAAAATGAAAACTATGATCTTTATAGTTTAATTGTAGACGCAGACCTGAGATATTAAAGTATATATCCACTTCTTCTCCCAAATACTTAAATGCAAACTTCATTTTAAAATGTATTCTTGTGGACTGTGGTTGCAGCTCAGTTGTAGAGCACTTGTCTAGCATATGTGAGGCACTGGGTTTGATTCTAGCACCACATAAAATAAATATATAAATAAAATAAAGGCACTGTGTCCATCCACAACTAAAAAAAAAGTATTGTTTTAATTTTAAAGTTTTTAATTTTATCTATTTTTCTTCTATAATACAACTTGAAATTATTAAAATTAAAATCTCTACATTATAGGTTATATATGTATATATATATATATATAAAATTATATTTGTTTATAAGTGTAAATTATATATATTTCTAATATTTTCTTGATTTTAAACATTTTAGCAGCAACAACAACATGATTCTTATTTCTCTTAAATTACTGAATAAGATGTTTAAATCTACAATAGAGATATAATAGCGTGTCTCTAATTCACAGTGTTTTGAAGAAGAATAAATCAGGTAATGCATATGTGTTGCTTAGCACAAGGCATGGGGTAATGTTAATAAATTTTAGATATTATTATCAACTACTGTCCCATGATATTTATTTCCTCTCAAACATTTGTCCCCTTTTGAAGGAGACAAAATCTGATCTGATCTATATGAAAGAGGAATGTGATATAAAAAGAGACACAAAAAATGGCTTGTTTTTGAAGAAGCTGCCAATAAAACACATATTCATTGCTTGAGGTTCTGTTGTTACTAAAGTGGTTTATTCCCTGTTATATATTTTTCAAACCATAGTTGGTATGATATTTAGGCCACATAGGAAGCAATAGCAAGCAGAATCAAATTTCCGAATTGCTGTTTTTGTTCTATTTAATTATGAAGTAACCTTGAGGGTAGAAAGGCTTATTCTGCTAATATGATAGACTGGATTCATTAAAATGTGAGCAGAGAGGCAGATTTGGCATTGACATCTATCCACATGTGTCTGTGTGTGTGTGTGCAAGCGCACACACACGCACACACACACACACACACACAACTCTAAAGATATGAAGCAATATAATGGAAAGTGCATTCTGTGCTGATTGATTTGTAAATACCACTGTAGTGTTTCCCAGAACAAGCCAGTAATGCAAAGCCAGAAAGTTGGCCCTGGAAAATATGTACAATCACAACTATAAGAAAAATAACTTAGCTCTAATTGTCCAAATTTCTTTGAGTGTCTTCTAAATAGCTTTTCTATAAGATGTAAAAAGATCTACAGAACAAAATCACTCACTTTTATCATTGTATAGAACTTTAAAGATCAATGTTTTCCACATTTTATTCAAATATCTTTTGCTATATGGTACAACTTTTTTTTTTCTTGACCACTTTTTACTTTATAACACATGTAACATTGCTTTATTTATTGAAAGTTTTTCAAGGGAGAAGATGAGGGAAAGAAAGGATAAGAAGATGCAGAAGAGTTTGGGCTCTCTAAATGTCTTCAACTAGAGTCATACTTTTAATTTTTTTTCCTTATTTTTTGCTTCTGCTACAGATTTTCTTGAACATAGGTTTCTGAGAAAAATAAATCCTCAAAACCTATTGTATAAAGCAACTTTATAAAAATAGTAATGCTGAATGTAAAGGGAAATTGCAATTTTTACAATAAATACATGACACATATATAACTGTACTTAAAAACATATATGGCATAAATTGCTATATATATTAGATTTTTTATTATTAAAATATACAATCTGTGCTATATTTTCATTCATAATTGTATCCATGTGATGCATATATACAGATACATTATTATAAATAGTAATCACAGAAAGTCCACATTGAGCCCAAATTCTTTACTTTCTGTGATCAAACTACTTTCTAAGGTTATGATCTCATCCAGTTATGAAGGGTTCTCCCCATTCTATAAAACATCTAGTGTTACTTCTAATGCTTCACCTTATTTTCCAGTCATGATGAGAAGAAAGTACAAAGAGTTTACTCGGGGAATAATGTCATTTTGATATTATTACTAGTAACATCAAATTATAAAGTTAGGACAATGATGAGCCTAGCCAGGCCATTATGAACCTATGTGATCCATCACTTCTGTTTACTAACCTATTACCTGAATGTTTGCCACTAATGGTTTAAGTATTAGCAGTTTATGAATTTATTTTTAAAATGAAAAGTATCAAAGCCAATATTTCTGGATTCCTAAGAGATAATTATTTTTCATGTTTCATTATTTGGTTACTTTGTTTTTGTCCTTGCCATTTATTAAAATGCAACTCTTAATTTTCCTTTATCCTTAAAATCTCTCAACGTGTCATTTTCTTTAAAATATGTCTCCAAAATTTTGAGTCCTAAGGTGTCTATATATTTTTGGTAGACCTATGTGCTCCAAGTCTTTTTAAAGTGTGTCTTGTCTTATTATCTTTGCTCTTTTTCTTGGCATTTTCACTTCCTATACTTGTAACAGGGAAATGGCAACCTTGGGAACTGAGAAAACCTAGTTAATGAATGGGAATGGAATGGGAAAGTATACTTTTTAACGTTGATTCATGAAAGTAAGTACAGTTTTTTGTGAACTGTGTTTTAAAGGTTATGAAATATTGAAACTTGAAAATACTAAGATTTTTTTTATATATTACAACTTTTTCTTTCATTTTCATCCACGACTTTTATATCTTTTCGCTCTACACTCTCTATGCCCACTAACTTCACTAATTTCCATAGTTGTGTTCCACTTCTCATCCTTTTATATTATATTAAAACAACTTGAACCCACGTTTAACTTTATTCTAATATTTCAAATTATGCTTTCTTTAGAGTGGCATAAATGACATTTTAGCAACTTGAATAAATGGAAGTGGGTTGCTTAAATTATATTTCATCCTGTGAGCTACACCACAAACATGTGAACAACAAAACACAAGCCATTCCATACTATTATAAAAGGGAATTAATTTTCCTTACTTCTATTTCTACAGATTCATGGAGCTTCTTGCAGGTGGCTGAGAAAGTTTCAGATGTGCCAAACTCAAAATACCAAAATTTGTTCTTCATTCTGAAAAAAAAAAAAAGAAGAAGAAAAAGAAAGAAGCAGCTCAGACAATTATCAATAACAGAAAAGTTGTTTTTTTTTTTTTAATGGCCTAATTTTGTCTTGCAATACAAGTAATAAAAAAGGTTTGAAACATATAACATCCAAAATGTAATAAATGATCACATAATTTTCAAAGCTTAAATGTTGGTGTCAAATTGTGTGATAGTCCCTTAGGGGATTACAGGAATGGGTTGATCTGACAGATTCACGTATATCTTTAACTTTTCTAACTATTGGTTGATTAGATTTCTAAAAATGTTTTAGTGCTTATGGTTTTCTGTTTTAGGTAACTTGATTTAGGAACTAACCATTCTGTAATCATAAAGAGAAACAAACATTTTCCCATTTCATGTGAAAAGATAAAGTGTAAGCATGCTGCATGGGCATGGTTATGAATTCACTAGAAATAGGCATGAAGAGATAGCATATTATTAAGAAAAATAATGGTGATCCATAAAGCTAATATTTAGTAATTTAGAGATAGCCATTAATTTTTAAGACATCATTCTTTCTCATATTTCAGTAGCAGGATAAAACAAGGAAGAAATAATAATATCAATATAACAAAAGTTGCAAAGAAAATATAGTTTAAAATATTTCAGTATTTAATCTTTTTTTAGGTATTTAATCTTAATGTAATATCATACAATTTTTTCTCCAATGACCCAATGATATTCTCTTTAGCTCTTTGCTCGCTTAATGTAAGTTTACAAAGTTGACTATATTTTTATACTATCCATATTGTACTTAAAAATTCATTCTTATAAAAAAATAGACAGTTTTGAATTATACATATTTCTGATATGGTGTCATGCCCTCAATTAGAAAAAATGCAGGTAAATTGACATACACATCTTCACATACAAAATCAAAACAGAAACTTCCGTTTAGTATTTGAATATCTCTCACATGAAACTATTTTGAGTGACCTATAAATATCGATATCTGTCTCTTCCATTAGAATGCAAAATGTTTTGATAATTAAAAAGATATTTGGCAAGGGAGTTTTGTACTTGATTCAATGCTGTTATTGGTTAGGAAAATGGTGTGAAATCCAATAGAGTGGTTAGTAATCTGCTGTTAAGTAGAGTTTATGACATGAAATTATAAACTATAAAAGTAATTTTACTTATCTACACATATTCAATAATATCTAGGTTTATACTAGGTTTTATTTCCATACAAAATTTTCACAAGCCCTTCTTGTATCAGCCACATTCAGGTCAGTAATCTGAAGATGAAAACAGGTTTCAGATTTCATTGGATTCTGTTACCATGAATCATTATTATTTTCCAGATAATATTTTTCTTATTTAAAGCCTGATTGTATACAATAGATATGCTTTTATAAGTTGACATACTTGCTGAAGTCATGTAAAATTAAAAACATTTTCCATTGATTTATCATTGTGATAAAAATGGACATAATTTTATAAGTTAAGAAGAAATTGTTGGTCTGAGATGGTCTCAAGACATTTTTAGTGGTTGTTCTAATTATAACGTTTTTGTGTTTATCTTTTCTCTAGATCTTCATTTGTTCATTCATGAGAACATTCACTTCCATATGCTTTAGTGTCAAGTTATAAAGATACACATAAAAATGCAATTATTTTTTGTTCTCAGTGAATGAAGAATGAGGTAAGATTATAGGCATATAAGATAATATTTAAAAAAAATAATTAGTTAAATGAATATGTGCAAAAAATAATGTGAGCACACTTTGATCATTCAACTAATTTTGCTTTAGGGAATACAAAAAAAATCTTTAAAGGAAAAAGTTATGTTTTAATGGATAAGTTAGAAGAAAGCAAATAGAGAAGGAAGGAAGAAAGAGATAAGTGTCATATCAGTGCAGTATGATGTGAGAGTATGCTGAGTATGGATGGACAAGTGCAGTGAGGTGTGTCTCAGAACACGTATGCCACAGAAAAAGGTTAGATTTGATCTTGTATATTAATAAGATGAATAAGAGGCTGACAAGTTTATTAGCATTGGACTGACATGGCCAGCTTTATTTTATAGATAAATACGTCTAGTAGAAAAGAAAAAGTGGTCTGGAATGTTGAAATGCTGTTGTTGTTGACAGAAACGTGGCTATTGGAATAATCCAAATGAAATATCATAGGAGGCCTAAACTAAGTGACAAGGGAAATGGAGAAGAGAGTCTCAATTCAATAGACATAAATGAGGTAGAATCAATAAGAACTGGTAATATTGGGTTACACTTAGATTTATGCCATACCTAGGTTATCTCTGAATGTACTTATGGGAATAACAGAGTATTTCTCTGGAATAAAAAGAGCCATGGGTTCATATTTTGACAGGTTCTATGATCTAATGTATATTGTGTTACAGTTGGAAATTAAATATACGGATGAGGCTTTCAGGTGCATAGAAATGATTATACCCTATATTTTCCATTCTGCCTATCAAAATTCATCATAGTTTAATTTAGGGCAATGTGGGACTTTGATCTGCTAACCAAGATTTACTCACTTTAACAAATACATCAGAAGAAATAGAAATTCTGAGAATTTACATTCAGCCTTTATTCACAATATTAGTTAGCATTACTGCTCATGTGCAAAAGCTACTTTAAATTCTCCATTATTACAACCATTTTATGTTTCACTTAGATAAATATATAGAGGTAATAAAAAGCACATAGAGTCAGATTCCACATGACAAATTAAAGGCTGTTACATTTTATTTTTTCAACCAAACCGGTCTTTAGGTTGTAGAAATGCAAAAAAAGGCCATTTAAGTATGTATGCTGTCTATTTTTATGACTCACATTATAAAATGATTCAAATAATTCAAACTCAAATTTGTCAGAGAAAACAAATGTGGACTTTAAGAATGTGGTAAATGGGCATTAACCCATTGTGAAATGGTCACACCAAAATGAAATTCATTGTTTTCATGGGCAGGTTTTATGACTTCAATTTATGACAAATGCCCCAAAAAGTACCAAAAAAGTTATCCATGCAATTATAATTTAATTGACATATTAAATCCTGTTCAATGAATTTAATTGTAAACCTACAGGTTCCAGTTTAATATTCAGAGTGCTTGGCTAGCAGATGTTCATGTTAAGATGAAAAAATTAGCTCCCATTTCCAGGCATTTTGTTACTAATTTTACTTCTATTTTATATCCTCAGAGAAATGTGAACTATCAGAGATTTTCCTCAAGCAAAATCATTTTTGTCATTATAAAATTTAGTTAATATTTAGTTCTACAAGTTTTTAACTTTCAAATAGAAAATTTGATTTCTAGCCATATATATATAAATTTTTTTTTTATATATATATATATATATATATAATTTTTCCTTTGAACTTTTCTTTCTTGTTCATTGCTTTTTGTTTCAGCTTTCATCTGTTTGGTAACAACAATGCCACAAACATAAAGCAGAACATTAAGTCCCAGTGCTTTTCTCAAAAGAATACAAAAGAAATTATATATGAATCTCATTTCTAACAAAGATGCATCATGAAGAGGGAGATGCCATTACTTCATTTATTTTATGTAGCAAGCTCTATGTCATAAACACACAGAAGTTTTTAATTCAGTGAAATTACTCTTAAAGGTCATCTTTTTATCTTACAGAGGTTTTTAAGTTATTTTTATGTATTTATGGGGATATAGAAGATACAAGCCGATCATTTAACATGTATGAAACTGAAAAGTCTTCTGTAAGACATCTTCATCCCTTTTCAAGTATCCTGAACTCAGTGATTCTAACTAAATTGCATGGATAACATACTCAACAAATGAAAAAAAATAAATCCTTTTTGATTTTTGGTTTTCAAGTGAAAGCAAAATCATAATGTCCTAGGTAAAAACCAATAAATATTTTACTTATTAAGGATGTTTCAAAATCCTATCTTTTTCATTGTTTTTGTTTTACTTTTGTCTTATTACTATCATATTTTAATAGTCACTTCAAAACTGGGAATAATTTTCTAATAGTAAGTCTTAATCTTAACAATTTGATGGCATAGCTTTGAAGCATAGTAGGGATTTGGTTTTGACTAACATTGCTGGTGTTGGGACTTGCAGTAATGTCAACTTATTGTAACAGTGTTTTTTAAAATGATATATTTGTGTCATAGAATCAGTTCAGTTTTATTCATTTTTCATTGCCAAGAAATATTACACTAAACATTAGTTGTAGAACTACTCATTTATTCCTAAATGTAGTGAAATATTACTTTTAAAAATACATTACAAGGAAAATAGAAGAGCTCCTCGGGGAACTGATTTTACCAGTGAAAAAGCAGTGTTGGAAAGGTGCAACTCATCTAAGGAAAAGCACTTGCAAAGTAGCTGTGACAAGCAGAATGCTTGCAGGGCCATGGAGCCCTGTCAGTGCAAGGTCAGTCCAGGAGTAATGAAGGGGCATGTTGTAGCTTATGTTTTTCATCACTTTGTGAAGTCTCCTGGGCAAACAAATGTCATCTGTAGAGACTAACGTAATAGGTATTTGTTAACAAGAGGGACCTGACCCAACTCAGATAAATTTACCAATTTAATTATTTCTTTTGATTGGCAACTACAAAAATCACAAATAAATAGTTATGAATAAAGTTGTTCTAAGTACAAAATGATGGAATGAATGGGAACTTCTACTCAAATTTATTTTTAAAAATAGCATCAAATATTTAAGTATATAGGTGTTACATATATGATTGCAGAAAAGTGAGACTACAACATAATGAGAGCAACCAAGAAATCATCCATGTGAATGTGCCAGGGAGGAAAGTGACCCTATGTTTTAATATCATTATAAGTTATGTAAAGAACTCCATTTCATTTAATCTCTCTAACTCATGAATTTTGTTGTTGTTCTTGTTCATAGAATTGTATGTCTCCTATAATACAGAATGATCCTTCTGATATTATTTCTTAGGGAAGAAACACTGCTATGATGACTACAATGGGGCTATTTTATATTT